AGAGGCAGGAGTTTTATTAAAATGAAGGATTTTTTACATTAGTTATGCAATCCCCTGGGAGCAACCATAAAATTACGTGACTTTTTTTTGTAGCCATTTAGTATTCAATGTAAAGAGGGTTGCTACCATGACAACTTCTGCATCATACGATATATGATACCGCAGAGAAACAGCAAGTGCTCTTAAATCAAGCCCCCAAATTTCATGTGAAAATGAATACATTTTACAATGATTTCAGGGAATGTTTGCATTACAGCGCGCAGGCCGCATGCATGGCTGAGCTGAGGGCCCGATCCTGGAATGTGCCAGACTTGAAGCAGATACTTGCAACAATAGATGGTAAAGGAAGAGGTTCGCCTACATAAAAGGAAAGGAACAAATGCCACCAGTCAGTTTTTGCCATGTGTTGCTAGCTGGGCAATGCAAGAAACGGATCAATTAGGCCATGTTAAAATTTAAATTCCAGCTGTTACCCATGTGCTCAGTGTAGGGAAGGAAAAAAAAAAAAAGACAGTGGCTTAAGCGCATATTTGAGGTAAGCGTGGAAACGTCTCTCTCTCATGAATTCCTGTCTGCATGCGAGGCTGGGAGACTGTAAATTTGATGCAGCTCTTGATACAGATGCATGTGTCAGACGCCCATTTCAGCACGTAGCTGAAGGCATCGGCAGGAGATTATGACGTAGCAGCATCAGTGTGGTCTGGGGCTCTTGCTCTTTCACAGACGCGTGCGTGCGCACACACCCGTGCACACACAAGCTCCTTCACACAGGTGCATTCATTCTCTCTGTGTGCATCTCTCTAGATCTATATTTTTGTGTGTGTGTGTGTGTGTGTGTGTATGTGTGTGTATATATGAGAGAGAATGAGTCGCTTGTATGTCTGCCTGTGTGCGCATGTGTCTGTCACTGAAAATAGAGCTGTAATAATGATTTTCCTTTTTTTCTGCTGTCACTGGAAATCTGACTTTCCTGCTATACCCTGTGTCATAGCCTATTCATGACTGTGTATTCTTTTAGCCACAGGAGATGTTGGTTGGAAATCTGGTATATCAGCACAACAAAAATCTCTGGCATAAAACCTTTGATTGACAAGGATAGCATGAGAGTTATTAAAGAGCAAGTCATCCGTATCAACTGGCTGTGTGTACAGCACTTTGTAAATGCTTGTAGAGGGAGCTGTTAGATCGTAGTATTGTGTAGTTACTGGAGAACGGTAAAGTAGTAAACACAAACGTCAACCCGCTGGTTTTAAAGGGATCTGATTCCAAAGGGCAGGGTTAACTGCATTCATGCTCCAGCCAGGCAATCGTTCATTTTACACTCCTGATCCTTTTCCAGTACCTTATAACTCAATATGAAGTACTACTGGGAATTCTCTAATCACATAGGATAGCTTGTGATGCATGGTAACCTATTAGGTGATATTTAATAAACGTGATTATGGCCAGAGTTAGAAGTGAAAAGATTTTTTATTTTATTTTTTTTTTTTTGCTGGTACGTGTGTGTGTGTG